TGTATGACTGTATGGAGTTTGGGCAGGGCATTCTGGGGACGATATAAACTGCGAGGATTTTCATTTATATATCTGTTCTGCATGGGCAAGACGGTCTACTCCGGTCTGGTTTGGTTTGATGAAGTTTCAAGCTATTTTCCTAGAGTCTTTGCACTTCATTTTTTTTCTTTACATTCATGAGCCTTCTTTTTTCAATTTTTCTCTTTTTCTCTCTCTTTTTTCTGCCGTTCGAATGGTCGATTGATCGATACCCCTACTTCTACTTCCTTCTTGTTTCTCTCATCTCATCCACTCACTCTCCTAATCCCTGTGTATCTATTACGATCCACGATCCAGAGATCTTGTTCTTGTTTCTTTTCTTGTTCATCAAGTTGTGTGCGAGGAAGCAATGCAAATAGAGATGGTTTCATGTATGTACATATATGCATGTATGTACTATACAAGTATGATGAAGAAGATATTTCAAAGACCACTTTTATGTGTTGCAAGTAAAAAAAAATTCTCTTGCTAGTGTTGGCAAGACAAAAGATTCCTTAATTATCTTATGATATCTGACGGACGGGTTCCCGATATAGGTAACTCGCGGCGCCTGCTCACTTAGGAAATTTCAACTCAATGGAAGATTCAGTAGCAAACACAATACGGTATATTATCAAATTTCCTAGTCCTTCCCTCCTTCTCACTACACATTGATAGATGGATAAGACATACTATAGTTATCCTCATTATCAGGTATGATACGATGTGATCTAAACCAAGGCTGAATGGAATGAACTGTACTATGACAGATATACATAGCGGCGTCGTTTTGTCCAGACGCATGCAAATAAAAGGAAATGTTCTTGCGTCTCAGTCCCCGACTAGAAAGCAACACACGCCGCCAGGCCTTCCAATTCCCGCCTGTAGTTCCGGTGCTGCGAGATCTGGTAGAAGAACTTGCCCGCAAAGTCGACGGCGTCTTTGACGATCTGGAATCCTTCCCTGAAGCTCTCGGGCTTCTGCTTCTCGACGCATGTCACCACGCCGTACGACTCGACGACGCCGCCCCCTTCGGTTGCGAACGTCATCGAGTGCGCCTCGGAAAGCACTTGCTTGACCAGCGCGACCGCCTCGCCCGTCGCCCCCAGCGTCTTCAGGTGTCCGAACGTCTCCGCGATCCAGTGCCGGATCTGCCCGTTCTGCGTCGCCAGCGTCGTGACGTGCGGCCCGCCCGGGATGAAGGTCGCGTCGAACAGCGTCGAGCGCACCCCGTCGTACTGGTGGTCTGGTATCACGCCCTTGCCGGCCGACCGGTCCTCACCCTGGGCGTAGATGGGCTGGCGTCTGGTGCCGATGACGATGGGCAGTGCCCCTGCGGCGGCCGCCGCGCGGCGGATGCCCGCAAAGGCAATGGGGTCGTAGCCGTCGCCGATGATGATGGCGATGCGCCGCGACGCGATGGTCGGGATCTTGGGCGCGAACTCGACCTGGGAGAGGCCGGAGACTCTGCGGCCGTGATTCTGTTTGCCTGCCACCGTGGGCGTCGGGGCGCCGACCATGGTGGCCACCTTTTGCGCGAGGGGGAGATCGATCTCAGCCACGCGCAGCACCATGCGGTTGTACACGACGGGGTCGTCGCAGTGGTCGAGCTCGAAGCTGAGGGCCTTGGCGACGTGCGCCTTCTCGTGGTCGGAAAGCGAGTTGTAGAACAGCTGCGCCTGGCTGTGATGTTCGCGCATCTTGGGGTTCACGGTCCGGTCCTTGTACCCTGCGCTCCGCTGCGGGTAGCTCTTGAACGAGCCCTCCTCGACTTTTACGGGAGGACAGGCGTTGAAGCGGTTGGGCCAGTAGTTCACCGTTCCCTTGGTGATCTTGTGCCGCATCTTGCCGTCGCGGTTGTGGTTCATGACGGGGCAGACCGGGCGGTTGATCGGCAGCTCTTCCCAGTTGATTCCCAGCCGCGAGATCTGGGTGTCGAAGTAGGAGAAGTTGCGGCCCTGGAGGAGCGGGTCGTCGGTGAAGTCGATGCCGGGCACGATGTGGCTGGTGCAGAAGGCGACCTGCTCGGTCTGGGGGAAGAACTCGTCGACGTTGCGGTTGAGCTCCAGTTCGCCGATGACGCGCAGCGGGACCTGGTCCTCGGGCCAGATCTTGGTGGCGTCGAGGATGTCGAACTCGAAGTCGTCCTGGCGCTCCTCGGGGATGACCTGGATCGCGAGGTCCCATTTCGGGTAGATCTTGTTGTCGATGGCCTCCATGAGGTCCTTGCGGTGGAAATCCGGGTCCTGGCCCGCCAGTTTCATCGCCTCGTCCCAGACGAGCGAGTTGACGCCCAGGTGGGGGATCCAGTGGAACTTGCAGAAGTGCCGTTTGCCTTCCTTGTTGATGAGGGCGAACGTGTTGACGCCGAAGCCCTGCATCATGCGGAAGGATCGTGGGATCGCGCGGTCCGACATCACCCACATGAACATGTGGGTGACTTCGGAGTGCAGGAAGGTAAAGTCCCAGAAGTTGTTATGGGCTGTTTGGGCCTGGGGGACTTCATTGTGTGGTTCTGGCTTTACGGCGTGGACTGGATCTGTCAGCTATCATAACAACCAAAGTCACTCCCGGTATATGTAGACACACCGAAATCAGGAAATTTGATCGCATCCTGGACAAAGAAGACGGGGATATTATTCCCGACAATATCCCAGTTCCCTTCATCGGTGTAGAACTTGACAGCGAATCCACGGACGTCGCGGACCGTGTCTGCACTGCCTCTGCTCCCTTGGACAGTGGAGAATCGCACGAATACAGGCGTGTTCCGCGAGGTGTCTGTGAGCACGCCGGCAAAAGTGACGTCTTCAGCGCTCTCCTTCAGCCGGAAGTTTCCAAACGCTCCTGTTCCGCGCGCATGGACGACTCTTTCGGGGATACGTTCGTGGTCGAAGCGATGGATCTGCGCAGCCACCTGCGTTAGAAACAAGCAATCCTAATCAATCATAATTACAATTGGGGGTACTGACCTTCTCCCGCGCAATCTGATCCTCCAACATCGACGGCCCAGTGTGCTGGTCGTCCAACACCCTAAGCCAATTATCCGTGTTGCTGACGGACACTCCATGGTCGGTGGTGAATTTGCTCTGTGTCTGCACGTCGACGGTGTCGCGCTCGAGATCGACCAGCTTCTTGTCCTTGGATTTGGTGCCCAGGACGGTTTCTTCGATTTTGTGCAGGCCGCCGGCTACTGTGGTAGCCATGTTTGTAGTATACTTCTGTAGTGTTCTTGTGAAAAGTCCCTGAAGGTAATATTATTGTTGGATGGTTCTGTCCAAGAAGAAGGATATTTCCAATGTCATACATATATAGAGAGAGAGAGAGCAAGTTGAACGGATCCTTTATTACGAATTGGCACTGCGTGACTGGATCGCTGATATAACAGTAAAGTTCATCATGTTGGGGACGGATGTAAAAGTGACGTTTTTTGGGAAACGTCACTCTGACAGGGCCGCATTACCAAAATAACCGTCCATTGAGTTTGTATACGGAAGTATGGATGGACGGGTGGAAGGGGAAAATGAGATGATGATGCTCAATGATGATAATGAATTATGAACGATGAGTAACGAGCATGCGGAGATCTTCTTGATCGAGGTCCAATGCAAATCTCATCATTACTAATAAGAAGAAAACCGAAAAGGGGGGGGGGGAAACAGAAATGGATGCTTCTAAGGTTCATTTTCTCAAGTTAATTAGCTTGCAGTCGCTGTAGCATATAAGATTTTTCCTGCACAATGATTGCCCAAGTTGCTGTAGTTATACACATAACAGGCGCAACTCGGGAGCAGTCCAGGAACAGTGAAATGGACCGCTCCAATTAATCCCTTTTTTTTTCCAGAAATTGAAATTGGAGCGAAAAGCAAGAAGGAGAAAAAGATGGAAGACAATACCTGAGTAGTTTGCGGCAGCTGTTCCTCTGAAGCAACGTCAAGTCCTCAAGACAGTTATGGTTACTGGGATTGTATTGTATACTGAGAAACTGCGGGTGGGAAGGCAGGTTCCAACAGGCCCTGTGAGATATTGTGGCTCCACCAATGTTCAGTGTTATTGATTTTCGGTTATATTTTCCCCTGCTCTGTGAATGGAGAGTTGTCAGCAGCGGCACGATTACTAAAGCTTGCCTCTAGTTCAATCTTTTCGCTCACTGTTATATATATATATATTACTGCGATATGCCGTTTGATATACCCGTTCCCACTGTTGGCATCTTCTGTTACGAATTGATGCTCGAACTTGAAGTGTCGAACTCGTTTGGTATGCTTTGTAATTCACATGGCAAAGAATGGGGAGTACCTCAACCATCATGTTCTCGTCGGGACATGATTCCACAAGGGATTTTTTTTTCAATAAATTGATTGAAATCATCTGAATTCGATAGTCTGCTCAACGCGCTTCGCTTCAAGGGTGTATAGACGGATGATCGTTGATAGTGTAGATGATCGACGGAGCCTCATGCACTCCATCGTGTAATATCGTAAGAGGCAGATTGGGAGAACTTAAAAGTTATTATTAACTAGAGCTCACCAGGATCGGATATTGATAGCAACAGACATTCGCCAATTGCAGTGATGCTTGGCGTTGTGATGCCTCAGAGAGGTCGATTGGGAACTGCAGACGTCTTCGTTGCTATTTTTGCCATATAATCCCAACTGTTGCAGAACAGAATTGGTAATGTTGGATTCGGCAAGAGTGGTTACCATATAGTCACTGGTTGTCCGTATAGTCACGTCAACCACGGCAACGGCATCACTTACATCTAATAGTCCTGGTTCCCATGGAGGATCGAGCAATAGTTAGGGTTTCGACACGCGCAATGCAGCCACAAGGACTGAAGAAAAAGCCTCATAGCGGTGAATGGGGATACTCGGAGGAATGAAATGGATAAAAGGAGCACAGTGGCTCTCAGAAGAATATGAGAAGCCAATCGATGTCAGCATGGTTAGCTTTGCGCTGGTGGATCTCTACCGTATGACATGTGGTGAGCATGTCTATTGGCCACGCCAGTTGTTCGTCCTCTCGTTATCGCTAGCGATATTCTGTGCTGAGCGGCCGACAGTGAAGATGAGAATTTCTGTGCTAGAAGTATGATTCAATTCTTCGAGAGTATTTGCTTGAACCCAATGGCAGCCGTTAATCTCGATTTCTGTTGAACGCGCTCTATTTAACGATCGATTAATGCGAGTCATAAGCGGCAATGATGAAAACAAGACGAACCAGTGCTCCAGCAGCGCCACATGACAGCGTGGCCTCACACGCGTTCGCCATGGCAGCCATGAACTGCCAATTCGCAGCTTGCATCGAATTAGTGAAGAACGAGAATATGACAGGTGCAAAACGCACAGGCGACGGACATGTTGCGTCAAACGGGCAGTGGGCTTGCTGGCGTCGAGAATCCCCACCTGCGGAGGGGAGTTGTGGAGAGAAGACTGCAAGGGGCTACGGCGGTGAACTTTGTACTCCGTACGCCACGAACCCCGATACCACCCGCAAGACACGCGTTGGCCCGTACTATCGAGAGCCCCATCGTCGCAGACATGCCTGCCAGCACTTGCATCATTCCTGTCATCGAGCCAAGTGGACTCTGGCTCCTCCGCTGTCTCAATCCCCCTGTGGCCCAAACTCTCTGTATCTCGCATCCCGCGACCCATCCCTTGACGTCGCCTAGTTCGATGGCGATGCGAGGGATGATAACGTCGGAGAATTTGCCCAGTAATGCAGGCACTCGAGAGATAATATGTGAACCTTGTCATGGCCTGTGATCTCTCCAGGGGTGGCATCCCTCTGCTCGGATGACACGGTCGAATGGGCCCGCGAAGGGTCTGCTACAGGCCCAAAGGGAATAAATATGGCAACGTCCTAGCTTATTTCACTTCTGGACTCGTGTGCCAGACTACCAAGCAGTTTTCGCTCTAACTGTTGTAAGCTCGACGAGAATGCAATGCCACCACTGCCCGAAGCGCTTCTTCGATCGGTGAGGGTTGACAAGCCAAAGCCCTCCTTGGATCGTTCAATATTAATCTTTCGTCCGTAGGAGAGAGTTCGAAATCCATCGACAATCTCACAGCGACCGCCAGCGTGAGATTCGCAGAGGCGACACCGAAATTGGCGCGTTTCTGAATGCCTGTGCTTCCGATGGACCTCGAAGAGTCGTCGTGCAGGCGGCGACTTTGCTGTCGCAGTGGGAGGAGCACTCATCCGATGGTACAGACCTCAGTCTCATTTCAGAACTTGTCGTATTGCCGCTGATCATGGAATTGACCATGTGGCAGGCGGTGGTGCACCGTCGGACATTCGTACTTTCCAGGATGCGTTGCGCAAATTCCCTCCGCGGACAGACAAAGATGGCGTCGCGCCAGAAGTGAAAGACGTCGTCTGCCGCGATTGTGAAGCTGTATTTTCCTCGACGTACGATTTTCCATAGTCTGATGGAGTCCGGGTCCTAATCAAGTTTCTAGTGCTGAACTGAGTCAACACCATCTCACCAAGTTCTGCCCCGGCGCGGCTATTGTGGTCTACGTCATGATACGGGATCGGCAAGTTCTCGCGTAAATATCACCGATTCTGGAGAATTATGCTAACGTTGCCTTTGACATCTTCAGCTTTATCCAGAGGGGTTACCGAGTCGAAAAAAGATCCGTCCCTATTGACGGTCATCCACTTCGAGTTCCCTGTGGAAAATGTACAGAAGTCTTCTCTGACGATGAGGCAAAAGACGCCCACGAAAACTTGCGTACGAACCCAGACTCTCCTGGTCCCTAATTTAGATCTGACAATTAATCGGCAGATCAAACACACAACTTGATATGTCTCCAATGTGGGCGTAATTGCGACACTCCGTGAGTCCTCAGCAACGATCAAATTCTATTGCTTGGCAGCTTGACTGATTTTTACGCTAGATATGAGCTGAAACTTCATTATGATTTTCATGATGACATGGAATTTCGCCAACTTCGTGAGGAGGCAATAGCGACCAGTCATAGAAGAACTTCAAGCGATCCGCACGGCAAATACCACCACTTCACAACATCAAAAATCTCCTCAAGTGCCTCGGAAATGGCCATCAAGAGACTGGGGAAAAGAAGCTCCAAAAAAATCCTGAGCTCATGGCATTTGAGAAGTGAGCTTCTACTAGTTCCAACGTATGATTGCGGAGACTGACTATCCAAAGAATATGGTCACGGTGACGACGGCGAACTAGTGGCAATTGGCTTTTCCCTTCCGGAACACTTGGAAAGAGGTGCGAATCATTGCTTTCCCTTTTGAATATGAACATTTATTGATGTCTTTCAGTGCATGCCCCAGACGGCGTGATTCAGGAAGTTGAACCAAACGCTGTTGTTGACTTTCCTTTGGCGCAATTTACCACCTGGCTAGACATGCAAGATCCAAGTGAGTGTAATTCTGAAAGTATGCCAGAATGCCAAAGGAATAGCTAGTCTAAACCGTTTCATTCTTTTAGTTACGCCTGATACAGATGACAAGTTTGTTGCCACAACACTGTGTAAAGATGATGAGGAGAAGTGTCTGAAAGAGGCAGGTGACTCTACCAACGAAGCTTCAAAGGATCCGAAAGCCGAAACGGAAGACAAAAGGCCTCGAAGGCACTCATTGCTCCGAGCGGTACTCGGTTTCAAACTGCCGAAAAGTGAGTAGATAACCTTTACTTTTTTGGGACCATTTAATTTACATTGTCGCAGGGCTGTCACGATCAGAATCGTCTGGGGGAAACCAACCAAGAAAACTACTGAAAAGAGAAAACGCCGTCCGATTCTCCTTCGTATCGAAAGGGAACAAGAATGGAAATACCTCGACGAGAAGTGAAAGCCGTGCCAGCCGCAGAATGAGTGAGCAACTGGACGGCAGAAAGTCGCCAGGCCCCAACTTGCCCGCAAACATTCCCGCAACTCGGGATGGTGAACATGAAAGGCCCGGCGAGTCCGATCGCGGCCCCTTCATTCACATCCGTATAACTTCAGACGGAGCTGTGGTCGAAGATGTCTCTGGGCGTCAGCGTATACTCCAAATGGAGCAGGTAGCTTACATATACTCGATAATCAGTAGTGGCTTCTCTTCAGCGGGGACGAGGTCGAAAATCGGCGCTTTGCAATCTCGAGCTGAGATGAATCTCCAACAGGACCACCCGAAAACGGCGATTACTGCATATCGCGACATCCTAGACATCCTCCAGCAAAACCCAACCATGGACATTGACCTTTCGTTAAGAGCAGGAGTGCTGCATCGGTTAGGTTATGCATATAGCAGTCTTGGCCTGGCAGGAGAGTCGGAGTCATGCTATCTGGAAGCATTGGCTATATACCGAAGGGCATATGGCCGGGACTATGCGACCAATTTTACCATTCTGAACGACCTGGCGATCCTGTGCGAACGGGATGGATATGCAACGGAGGCGGCGGCACTATATGAGCGTGCTCTCGCCGGTCGTTTGAAGGTCCTTGGGCAGCACTCTCCAGAGACCTTGAACATCATGCAGGAACTGGCCAAGATCAAGATTAGTCTCGGAGACTTGGAATCCGCACTCGTTCTGTTTGAGGAGGTGGTTCCCTCATTCGAAGCCGTCCTCGGACTTCAGAACGAGAGTACGCTCAATGCAATGAACAGCCTGTCTATGCTGTATCAGAAGCTTGGCATGAACGACAAATCCCTCGCCATATCGCGGAAGATGCTTCCCCATTGCAGGATCGCGGTAGGCCTCGACAGTCCGTTGACCCGGATTACCGTTGCTCGATACGTGCAGGAATCGGACAACTTTGACTTTCCACCGGAGGTCAAGCAGGTTCTGGACCACTACCGCCGTTCGCGGTCGGCTGACAACTTGCGAGTTCTCCAAGGGTTGGGCCGAGCGTACATGAGTGCGGGACTGAACAGAGACGCATGCGAGCTCTTCGAGACTCTCTTCGAAGAGCTCAGTGCCATCAAGGGGCCCGACTCGCTCGAAGCGTTCGACGCCCTCAGCGGGCTCTGTGTCTCGCTGGAATATCTCGGGTCCCTGGACAAAGCGATCCAGTCGTACGGAAAGCTTCTACAGCTTGCGCACAAGACGCCTGCTGACCACCCGGCTCGGGGTCGAATGGACTACGCTCGCAAACGAGTGACGGACCTCATCCACCGACGGGAGGTTCTCACGGCGGAACGGAGAGCGTGGGGCTTGTTCGAGGAAGGGCCGTGTGTTACATGTCAAGCCAATACGTCTTGCTTATGCAACAGTAAGTTGGCTGTATAAGAAATTTATTCTGGATGAAGCATGGCTGACAAGGCGTTCACTACTACAGCATGCCATATTGTCCGCTTCTGCAGCGAAGCCTGCCACGAGCTAGGTCGCGAAGCGCATCAACCATCCTGCATCCCGTCAGTCACGCTCCGCGAGTCGAAATCCGTCGCCATCACGCCGAGATGTCCATCGCCGGTGCAGAAGGACGCGGTCAGCATGATCGTGCCCAGCGAGCATAACGGCGGCGCCGTCCCGGGCATCACGGCAGGTCACACGGTGTACCTGGATCCGCGCAACTTCACCACATTCCGGATGAAGCTGAGCTCCACGGTGAACACACTGCTCATGTTCTCCACCGAAGCGGACATCCGCTACACAGTCGTCGGCAACCTCTCCGAGTCGGACTCTACCGCCGTGGTCCCCGCCATCGTCACGTCGCGGAACGCGAAGAATCTCTTCCCAGCTACCACATCCTCATCAAGTCCGCAACCGCAACGGCTCCCAGGCGACTGGCTCACACCATCGAAGCAAGAGTCCGTATGCATCACGCCAATGGCGCCCTCGGCACCGATCTACCTAATCGTCGCACCGGGCGAGAAGATGATGAAGACGATGGTGGAAAAGCGGGTGAAGGCGGGCGGCGGCGGCGGCGAGAAGGAGCGCTTCGAGGCGCTGACGGTGCCGAACGAGGAGCTGATTGAGTATTCTCAAGGGTTGCCGTTGAATGGGTATATGGGGGAGGCGTTTTTGTATATTGTGGAGTGGGTGTGACGGCTTCATCTCATTCATTGCTTGCATTGCCTTGGGAGGACGAACAGACTACGACCGAACTGAACTGATGAAGTAATAATGAATTGATAGAATAGTTTCCTCTTTTGTTTTTGTCAATCAATCAATGAATGTGATTTTTTTTTCTTTTGATTTTCTCTCCCTCACTACAACAGTATGACAATAATGACAAACAAGTTCGATTGATTGACAACATGACAGCATCTATTTATTCAGTTCAATGAATGAATAGATCATCATCTCGTTCGTTTCATGAATTTGTTTTTTTTATCTCATTCCAAAGGAACTAACCAACTTCCTGCGCATACGTATGTACTGTTCATACATGCATACGTGATATCCATGTCTAATAGTAGGTATCCTAATCCAATCCCAATCCTAATCCTAGGTAATCAATCCGAATCCTGATCAGAATCCTAATTCCAATCCAGTTCCAGTCCTAATTCAGTTCCAATCCAATCCCGATCGTGATTGTGATTGTGATTGTGATCGTGCGCGATCATCACTCAGTCATATCCTCAATCCAATCAATCAAGCCTCTTTGTCAAATAAATAAACGTGGGAAGGGGGGGAAATAGCCAAACCAAGCCAAACTAATCCAATCCAATCCAGACCAAGGGCTAGCAAGGGCGAGAGTATGCAAGACATGCTTCGGTTGCTTTCCACTTTTTTTTTCGTATTCTTTTTTTTTCGTTTTTCGTCTTTTTTTTTGTTTTTTTATTTTTTAAGAAAAAAAAAGACTCTTTTCATGACCATCTTCCATCATTCATCATGCTCTTTTTCCTTCTTTTTCTCTTTTTTTATTCTTGTCTATTGATATAGTACGTATATCTCCGACCAGCGACTCGACTCGCAACTCTTTCGTCTCGTCTATACCACGTCTAATCAAGCACTGTAGCCATCCTCTTCATCCGACTTATCCTGCTCCTCCTCGTCGTCGTCATCGTCACCGTCATCGCTGGTCCAGCCCTGCGCCTCCAGATTCGGCGACCGGATGCCGAAACTGAGGACGAAGCCGACAAAGGCGACGGCGCCAAAGACGCCGAACGCGAGGAGCTCGCCTCTCTTGCCGAACTTGGAGGCGAGTGAGAACAGACCGCCTGATAGGAACGGGCCGGCGGCGCGGCCGGCGGCGGAGAGGGTCTGGGCTAGGCCGTTTAGGGCCCCGAGGACGGAGTGGTTGGGGGCGGAGTTTGTTACCTGTTTGGAGTGATTAAACGTTTGGTTTAAGTAAAGACTAAAGAATTGGCGGTTGAGGAATCAGAACTTACGAGTAATAGTGCGCTGGTCAGACCGCCCACTGCAGAAACGGTCTTGATCAATAGCACAAAGCAGAGCTCTACGGCCAGCAGCACCGACTTCCCCGTGAGATGACCCTCCTTCTTGCTCTTGTATCCAATGAGCGGCATGAGGATGAAGGAGATGACGAATCCCAGCAGACCGGCGCGGTAGGACCACTTGTTCCCCATCTTGTCCCGCAGCTTGCCGAAGATGCAGATCTGGAAGATGATCGTCACCACCCCGGAGAACCCCAGCGAGAGACCGATTTCCTGCGGGGTAAGCGACCTCCCGACCGGCTCCGGCGCCTGGGCGAAGATCGGGTATAGCGAATTGAACGAGACATTGACCAACGCAAAGATCAGGTACGTGGTCAATAGCAGCACCGTATCGCGATTGAAGATTTCCTCCCGGGTCAGCTCCTCGTGATGGTGAATCGGCGCAGAGGCCTCCGACGCCGAGTCCAGCTCGCTGTCTCGGGTTGCGTCGCTGGACGAACGAGGCCGCGTAGGAATCGGCTGATAGCGGTGACTAGCCCGCAAATACGTGGGCCGGTGCGAGCTGGTAAACTGCCACAGCCAACTAAACAGATCTCGCACTTTCTGGGTGAACTTGGGGAGCGACTCCGCCTCCTCAAGACTCTCTTTCAGAAAGAGACTCGTCAGGGTAAAGTCGATCATCAGGATGATGGCAGACACCAGATTCGGTAGTAGATAAGGATACGGATTCGGTCTTTTCCTGTCGAACGGGTTGTGCTTGAAGACCAACGAGCCGCCCAAAACGGGCCCCGTAATGCCTCCAATGCCGTAGAGCACTGGCAGATAGGTAAACGCGCGCGACTGGTTGCTCCGGTTCGTGATCTCCCCCAGACAGGTCGACACCAAGCCCTGGTTGCCATTGACCATGCCCATCAAGGCCTGGACCAGGACGGCCTGCCACAGCGTCCTGCAGAAGCCAAACGCCACGAAGCAAGCGGCCGTGGAGATGGTCCCGACGAGTATCACGGGCTTTCGGCCCACCCGATCTGACAGCCAACCCCAGAAATAGTTGGTTGCGAATTGCGCGAGGGCGAATGCGGAGGCAATGGTTCCGACATAGACACCGACATCGCGGCCGTCGACCTCGGGAAACGTGGACGCCATGTCAGGGAGATACGGACTGATCGAGTTCAGGGCGGTCTGCTCGGCGAGCGCGATCATGGCCAGCACGGCCATCTGCTTCTTGGGCAGCGGCGCTTCAGACGAACTCTCCGTTCCGTCATTGAGCAGGGTCGACGAGCCATCGTGGGAGGAGGCGGACTGGCCGGACTGAGGACGGCCACGCGACTTGGGAGGAGGGGTAGCGAAGGTGTGGTAATGCTGCGTGGAGGACCGCCGCCGGTTGAGAGGTGGTGAGCCAGAGGCTCCCATTTTCGTCGAACAGACAAATTGCAATCTCTTCTTTTGCTAAGGACAAGGATGAGCCCTCCGTGGCGAGACAATACAATTCCTCCCGGACGGACGGGTCGGCGGCTCGCGTGAGGCGGGGATGCGGCCCTGGATGGCGGGCAAGGAGGAGCAGGGGTCGTGATCAACGCCACGAGGCGCGTCGAACCCGGATCGTCGTCGAGGCAAACCGCATCCTCCGCGGGAGGATTGCAGGGACGGATGGAAGGAATTGGCCGCAAGGAGGGACGAGCAGGACGAGCAGGGGGGCTGGTCGATCGACGGGATCGGAAGCGGATCGGGATGCCATCGCAACGTAAGCGCGGAGTGGCTGACTCATCCATCTTATCTGATAACGCGGCCGGGCCGGAAATCATATGATATTGATAAATCATATTGATACACTCTCAAAGGCGATATTCTCAGCTGGCTGTGTTCATTAATCCTGCTGCAGTAGTAGTCGTGATCAGATCTCGTAAGCGTCATGATACATCGGGCAATCCTGATAGACCCGTCAGAGCAACGGTCTCTATCCAATAAAGAGCCTGGTCATCTGCGATCCGGAGAGCGCTCGCAGCTGGAACTATTGCTGGTTGGTGCTGGTCAAGATTGAGAGGATGTAAGTATAAAAGCCGTGACTAGACTATCTAGTCTGCTTACTGACTTCCTCCAAGGAACCTGATCCCCAAACATGCGCGAGCCCTCGCCTCCAGACCGGAGATGTGGGGAGCAATCCAGCCTTCGCCTCAGCATGTCGACCAGCTGGCAAACGAGTGGATTCAAGAATGGACCCGGGCACTGCACCATATGCTGCGACATTGGGACACGCCACCGACGGTGACGGGGCGGTAGGTAAAGTACGTACATCTATACATAGATATATATACGAGAGATGGAGTAGGAAGAGTCATATTGTGTTTGTATAACATTCATTTGCTATTTTTCTGGAATGTAGCGGTGCCAAATATATGCGTTTTAGATAGTGCTTCAATCTGAATCATAGTCGTAGAGATGTATATTTTTTTTCTCGGGAGAACGGAAGCCGTGTACACCCATCTAAGCTATGTATACGTTCATTGCAAACAATGTAGTGGTAAAATTTGTCAGCACACATATTGAAGTTCCTCCTAACCAATGAGTCAAATGCACTCTTTTTGGAAATTCATGAATTGATATCATGGAACTGTAGCGCAGGGTACGTACCTAATACGACTAATCAACATAATTACTAGGAGAAACTGTTGCCATGCACAATATACAGCCCTGCCTGAATACCTTTATAGTAAAAAAAATCATGACGTTCGAACATATATATGATCGTTTATCAAATTTAACGAGCCAAACGAAGACTATAATTGATAAGACATATTTAGTCTAATTTAGTCGCTAGCACCATGACATAATAATTCTCGTAATCAGATGCTAGTCTAGTTAGAGGTTTACTTTCCTGTCACTCATCCCCATCGTACTCCTCGCTGCCATCGCCATTGTCTTTCTCGGAAAATTCGAAAGTATGCCAGAAAGCTCGACAGGCGGAGATAGGTGCTGGACAGCATTTTCCAACAGTTACAGCAAGAAACAGTATCACAAATCATGCTGATAAGGAAGCTGGAGCCTGTTCTGTATAAGCTAGGGAGTTAACCATGTTACAGTCCACATGCAAGTCATGACTTCTGCCGGAGTATACTATTATATCCTCGGTACAGAGTATATGTCATGTGGCAGGGTATTCCTTCTCTGGAAAATCCAGACAGCACATTCATGTATGAATTTGTCATTGCAAGATATACGTGGACAGGCATGAAAAAAAAAATCCAGATATTAATCCATCAGTCATTGACTATATTTGCCAATATAATGTAATCTTGAAAGTAAGGATTCATATGTTTTTATACCCAGTTCTGACCCTACACATTTTGATTTACTTTTTTTTCTTTGCTTCATGGGAAGGTAACTGAATATTTGCCTGTACTATGGCACTTTTCATTTGTATATAGTATAGAACCTTGGAAGTAGATAGACGTACTGCTCAGGTGGTAGGAAGAGCATGCATAGATGCATAGTTTCTGAAAAACGCGCTCTAAAAAGGAAGAAGGAGAAGAAGAAGAATAGAATTCTCCAACAGCCAGTTGGGTCTTCCACTTGTCTCTTTGTTTTTATTTTTATTTTTATTTTTATTTTTATTTTTATTTTTATTTTTATTTTTATTTTTATTTTTTATTTTTTATTTTTATTTTTTATTTTTATTTTTATTTTTATTTTTATTTTTATTTTTATTTTTATTTTTATTTTTATTTTATTTTATTTTATTTTTGCTCAGCAAGGAGAAAGAATAAGGAAAAAAAGACCCTTCCTTGCTAATATATACATGTACTGTACATATACCTATATAGCGACACACCTATACCTATGCTATTGTCCTGGTACAACGCTGTACCTTGACGGAAGCACAATTTGATGGAGAGTATGGAGGATCCATCCCGATCACATGGGATGCCCGTGACTCGGGCCGGCCACGTATGGATAATCCATCTCGTGTACGTAGTTGGAGGCTCCTTCCTCCATCATCTCGTGGTCCATCCTTCACAGCAATGCCATACCGCATTAAGCATTGACAGCTATGCTCTGTCAAGTCAATGCCTGTCAGAGGTAATAATCTCTAGTCAGTCTTTCCTGCAGCAAGCTGAAAATCACTCAACCAAAAGATGCGCACTGCACTTCCTAATCCGCTCTCCAAACTTCATGAACAGAAGCGGCATGGGCACAAACGCCAGCGCAATGAACCCCAGCACGGAATTCCCCCAGCCATATCCCAAGGCGCTGTACAGTGGCGGTCCGGCCAGCGGCAGGAAAGCAGCAGTTGCGTTGCGAGGGACGAGCATCGCGCTCACCGCGCTCACGGCATAGATGCCAAACGCGTCGACGATGTAGCTCTGAAGAGAGATGGATGTCGCTGCCAGAGCGAAGCCGATGACGGCTGTCCCGATGATTGGCACGATGAATTGAACGTGGTACGCTGTGCTCCAGCCGAAGAGGAAGAGACCGCCGGGCATGAACATACAGGCGACGAGAACGGGTGGAAGACGCTGTTCGGGAGTGATGGCGCCCGCTCTCTTCTTCGCCAGCTGGACGTAGTGGTCGAGGAGGAAACTGCACAAGATGCTCCCGGACACAAGGCCCAGGCACAGACCGAGGAAAGCCAGGCCAGAAGCGCCCTCTGAGAAGGCATAGACGTCCTGAAAGACCGGGGCGATGGTGGTCATGATGAGGTAGGTGTACCCGTACACGATGCAGATAAACAGCGTGATAAGCATCAGAGCCGGGGACCGAACCAAGAGAGATAGAGGCCGAATGGCTGTTTTGTACAGCTTCCGAAGCGCAGTGTCATCAGTCTCATACTTGGATCGGAGGCTGTAGTCGCCGGTTTCACGCTGTCGTTGCCTGGTTTTCTTCTCCAGGATTGAGACCTTGTAGGTTTCTCGATACACGGCCAGAAACAGCAAAGACAGAAAGCCGTATGCGATGGTTGGCAGCCAAAAAGTCCACCTCCAACCGGCGTTCTGGCCTAGATAAGAGCCCACAATGGGTCCGAGGAGCGGTCCAAGGGCAGTGGACATGGACATGATGGACATGGCGCGCCCCCGATGCTCTTCAGCAAACAGATCGCGCACGATTCCGGGGCCGATGGGCGACGCCGCGGTTGCGGTACCGCTCAGGAAGCGGAAAGCAACGAGAATTTGGATATTTGTACTCAGGACCGTTCCGACAAAGAAGGCGACAAAGAAGAAGTTGGCGATATTCAGCACGGGGCGTCGACCGTAGACTTCGGAGAGGGGGCCCCAGACCAGCGGACCGACGATTTCGCCCAGCTCCCAGATCGACACGATCAGGGTGCGGTACAGGGTGTTGTCGGAGTGGAAGTCGGTCAGGATCTGGGCGAGACTGGCGCTGCGATGATGGTTGACAGCTGGCTGCGACGGGTCAGTGCTGTACAAAGTACTATGCGGAGAGCATGAGGATGCCGTACACCATGGCAGAGAGACATGCAACCAGGATCACCATGGCCCATTTGTACGGTTTCGGCCAGTTGAGAGGATTTGCTGGATCATCTTTCTCGAAATCCACGATACCCGTCTCTGCAGGGTTGCTCTCGTCTATCGGTGCTGCGACTTTTTCCCCATCCATGTTGGAAGACGATGTTGTCGTTGATCAAGATGCATTGCAGGTCTGGCCAGCTGATAAGAATGCTTTATAGCGCCAACAGCGAGTGTATGCCTTCTGCGCCAATTGGCTGTCGATTTAACACTAGACATGGGGTGATCGACAGGTATTCGCCCCCAACGAAGCTGTGCTAATGCAAGTCTTAATCCCATTAGGGCAAGGCATCGAGACTGGAATGGTTCGCGCCATCGAACTGCTTTCTATTTTATCTATGCAGCAGAACTGTTACTAATGTGGAGAGAGAAACTTTCTTTCTTAAGGTTAGGGTTATTGATACTCACTGTCACGACTGATCGACCCTACGATAACATTCCTGCATCGACACTTGTCCTCTTGAAAATTCAGAAATAATAATTCATATGTAAATGTAGAAGAATAGGTCAGCATAAATACCAACAAATGTAACCCCACGCGGGGATGTAGCAGGGCATGTAAAGTGCCCAAAAGGGAAAAATAACGAGTGACGCCGCAGTCCGTTATTGGCGGTTCCCCTCGCTGTACACAATCCCCAACAATGATGCATATTAAATCAGTCTATCTTCATTTATTTCTTGTATGATTGCCCCTCTCCGTCTTCTCTCTCTTCAGTCGAGTGCGAACAACCATGCCAATCGACCCAGACTCCCCGTTTGAAGTCCGGGAGATCACCACGAAAGAAGAGTACGCAAGACTCGTCGACGTGTTGTGGACGGCCAATTTTCATCCGTACATGTAAGACCAAGCCAACGACATAAACAACATCTATTTCTTTTCTTCTATTCTAACCTGTTGGTTCCTACCAGACCCGTCTTCACCGCCGTCCACCCCGTCACCGGACACACCCCCGAAGACCGCGCCAGAGACAAGGCTCTCGACACGGACGTCAGATGGGAGGCTCATTTGAAGAACCCTGCCTCACACTGGATCTATGCCATCGACACGGAAACCGGAGCTGTCGCGGGGGGCTGCGAGTGGCTGATTTTCCACGAGAACCCTTTCCCGGATGGTCCCAAACCCATCAAGTGCAACTGGTATCCAGAGGGCTCCGAGAGGGCTGAATATGCCAGTCGCATGCTCAGTCAGGCGTTTTTCCCCCGGCAGTGCTGGTTCCAGCGACCGCATGCAGGTGAGTGGAAGTCGTCGAGCGTCGCTACATATATACATAGATACATACAAGCCTACTCTCTCACAGGCGTCAACGCCATGGGCGTACACCCCGACTACCGACGCCGCGGAGTCGGTCGACTGCTCATGCAATGGGGCCACGAGCGCATCGACCCCCTCGGCTACGAGAGCTTTATCGAAGGCAGCCCGCTCGGACGCTGGCTGTACGAAAGCTGCGGGTATCGCCGCGTCATGGGCCTGCATATCGACATGGACAAGCCCAACCCCAGTGACGAATGGATTAGGCTGATGCACGAATGCAAACCGCCGGGGATTCTCCTGCTGTGGAGGCCTCCTCGGGGGCAGTGGACGGAGAAGACGCCTCCTGGGCCGTGGGCAGTTACCAGTGAGACATGGAAGTAGACAAAGATCTTCAATGGATATAGACTATTAAAACGGGAATTTTAGACAGGATCTCTTTCTTAGCCTATGCCCTGCTTAAGCCGTTTGGCTGAACTAATCCAGAATTGTGAAGGTTTCTCAGCTCATGTTAGACTTGTAGCTCAACAACTATTCTATCGCTCGATGTTGTAGTGATTAGAAAGAATACTGGCCATGCAATCAATAGGAAGACTACCGAAAGATGGAAATACTAAGCGACTGATTGCTTCAATTTTTCATCAATGGCTCTGTGCTAGGAGGATAATGGTTGCATAGCACATAAACTTGGTGTAGATGCTGTACTACCCTTACACACTTTGTGTGTTTGCAGTTAGGCATTGATTGCTGTTATCTTGAATATGTATCAGGTCTCATGCTTGTTGAACCAAGACTGAAATGAAACAGACCTGGTGTCTTTGTTCTGTCACGACTCGATCCATTCCAAGTCGAGATTACAATAGGGTAATCAACATATAAAATAAAAAGGGAGGAGAGTACGAGGTTGACTACTTCATCAACAATCCCACTGCCCACGGAACACTCAGCCCACGCAGGTCACCGTAATGCTGTCCAACGCCCAAAAACACAATCGGAATGCCCGTCGCGTGGACCATGCTAACCAACGTGCCGACCATGTCGCCCACCGTGTCGCACTTGCTGATGATAAACCCGTCCAGGTGCCGACCAGGGCCGAACGCCTGGTTGAAGTTGCGCGCCTGCATCACGCTGTCGGTGCCCACAAGGGCCTCGCCGACCATGAAAATCTTGTCCGGGTTCGCCAACTTGGCAAACTTCTCCAGCGAAGACATCAGCCGCTGGTCGTTGTGGCGGCGTCCCGCCGTGTCGATCAGGACGACATCGAATCGGTTGGCGGTCGCATAGGCCACGGCGTCCTTCGCAACGTTGGCGGCATCCTTGCCATACCCTTTCTCGTACAGCTCTACGGCGCCCACGTTCTCGCGCGCGCTCAGCTCCTTCAGGTTCCGAACATGCACGCGCAGCTGCTCCACCGCTCCGGATCGGAAAGTATCGCAAGCCGCAATCAGGACTCGGTAGTTGTTCTGCAAGAGGAAAAAGCATATCTTGCTCAGATTCGTCGACTTTCCAACACCGTTGACACCGACAATGGAAATGACGTAGGGACGAGGCGCCTGCTGCTTGTTCGTCGGGGCGGTGACTGCTTGGATTTGATGCAGCAGATCCAACGACGAGGTAGGGGTCAAGATCTTTCGCAAAGAAGCTTCCATCGCCGCCCTCAATGCCGCATCGACGCTCTGGAAGTTGCCCGTCTTCTTTCCAATGAGCTCCTGCTTCACACCTTCACACAGCCGCACGGCCGCCTCTCGGGCCACGTTCTTCTTCATCAAGTGGTCCTCCATCGCCTTCAGAGGTTTCTCAAGATCCGCTTCCGTCAAAGTTTTGCCGCCGACGATATTGCGAAACAGACCACCGATGGCGTTGAAGCTCGATCCCACAACGCCACTGGAAGCGTTGGCTTTCGCCTTCTCCGCGTCCGCGTTTTCGAGGATCGAGTGCACTTCGTCGCCCAGATCTTTCAGGACAAACTGGCCGTTGGCAGTCTTGCGCCCCCAAGAATCGCGTGCCACATCTTCCACTGCGGGAGCTGGTGCCTCGTCGCCTGCGCGAGCAGAATAATCCAGGTTTTCATCGTCACCCTCATCCACAAGGCCATCCGCATCCCACTTTCGCATTTGCTTCCCGCCAGCCTTGGCACTTTTACCCTTCCTCGCGCTCTCATCTCCGGAGGAAACATTCGCATTCGCGTTCGCGTGGGCAGCTTTTCGTGCGCGGCGAGAAACGCGGCCACCGGGCCCGCTCTTTGCGGGAAGAATGTGATTTGGAAGAGGAGTAGAGGATCTAGATGTATCAGGAGTCGGTGAGGGCGAGCTCTCATTCGAGATTGCCACCGGTTGCGCAGCCGCATGCTGCGCTTTTTCGGTTGTTAGCAATATCCTTGACGCTGGACATAAGCGTAGCTTACCTTTGGGAAGCGAAGGAACAGGCGGTGGTGGTGGACCTCCATTGTCAGACGAGACGAGCGGATTTTTCCTTTCTTCCTCCAATATCCCTGGAGTCTCCTCGACAGCGCCGCCCGCCGTATCTTCCAGTTCCCGAACCTGCTGGTCGAAATACTTGTCGAATGGGTACTCGACCACTCTCGATCGCGAGCTTTTCAGTTGATCCTTGTAGAGATCGACGAATATAGTTGCGATATTGTCGAGGAGCTTGTCTATCCAGCTCAGGTGAAGCAGCGACTGGTAAACGGCCTGGCGTTGAAGTCAGCATTCTGCCGCAGCATATGTCAACAAGTTTTTTTTCGAGACGAACCACAAAGATGAGGCCGAATTCCTTCACGCGCCTCCATTTCAAAGTATATTTGTCCTTTCTATACACAGGCGAAACGCCGTCGGCCGTTGCATCCTGAGGTCGGACCTTCTCTTCGATGAAAACATCGTTGATAAGGCTGTTGACGACATGGGCGCCGACCGGCGCGTAGGACTTGGACCACAGCACCACGCCCGACGTCGTGATAATCTCGAATGCGTCCAACATCCTGAGCGATCCAGTCGTCCAGCTGCGTTTGGGATTGGGGCATGCTGAAGCGGCGTTGCGGGCTGTGGCGGGCAGCTCTGCGGACTTTAGGTGGGCGACACTCGGGCCACGTAGTGACGAACGACCAAATAGAACAAATAGTTCTCTGCGCAGCACGGCCAGCTGCCCTTCCTCCTTCAACTCCCGAATCGCAGCCCGCAGAACATTTCAACAATATACCCATTTCTTTCCTTCTTTTTTTCTTTTCTTCCCTCCCTGGTCGACTGACATCGCCATGCATCGCGCCCCTTTCGCTCCTGCGCCGGCGCAATCTCCTCCCCTCCACCATCCCGTGCCGCAACATGTCTCGACCGTGCCCATGATGCGTTCACCACCGCCACCTGCTCCCCAGCAGGCGCAGTCTTCGAGCTATGGAAACCCGTACCAACCAGCTCCGGCCCAGGGAGGCAGCAGCACGTTCGCCCCGGGGTTTGGCGGCTTCATCAACGATCCCACGGCGCAGATGGGTTTCCAGGTGGGAAAGAGTGCGGTGATGGCCGGACAGGAATATGTGGAACAGAACGTAGGAGAGACCTATCGTGCAATGTTTCTTTAGTTGTTGATGGGATTTGCCAACGCTGATTCTTACAGTTCAACCGCTATGTCTCGATTCCGGCCCTCAAACATTACTTCAATGTCTCGAATTCCTACGTCCTAAACAAGCTCGCCCTTGTTCTCTTCCCCTGGCGCCACAAGCCCTGGTCTCGCCAGCAGGCACGTCTCGCCTCAACCTCTACAATGCCCAATGGCCAGATCTCACAGCAGCACTATGCCTCGGTATTTCTGCCTCCGCGTGAGGACCTCAACTCGCCGGATATGTACATTCCTACCATGGCGCTGGTAACCTATATCCTTCTCTGCACCGTCCTGGCAGGCCTCCGTGGGAGCTTCCATCCAGAGCTACTGGGCTCGATCACAACGACGGCGTTAGCTGTCGTCGTCTTTGAGATCCTCTGCTTAAAAGTGGCCATGTATATACTCAGCATCAGCAATGATTCTCAGCTGCTTGACCTCGTGGCTTACTCAGGCTACAAATTTGTTGGCATCATCGTGACGCTGCTTGCCGCCGGAATTCTCACTCCAAGCAAGGGTACCGGTAGCTGGGTTGGCTGGACGGTCTTCATCTATACCTTTCTCGCCAACGCTTTCTTCCTGGTATGTGTTCCTTCTGAACCTTGAGTTGAGCTGTCAATAACCTCATTTGAACAGCTACGCTCGCTGAAATACGTCCTTCTCCCCGACTCGACTAGCGACGCATCCATGCGGGCTGGCACTATGCATACCGTTGCCCGCTCTCAGCGGAACAGACGCACCCAATTTCTTTTTATTTATTCTTACGTTATCCAGTTCATCTTCATGTGGATCCTCAGCCGCGAAGGTCCGTCCTCTTCCAACGCAGCAAAGGCCGCGGGATCTGGATCCCTGGCATAAGTTTTCTTTTTTGGGATGTGGCGTCATCTGTTTTTTTCTTTTATTATAGACTCTTCGGAAGAGTTCAAGGTTATGTACGGCAAGAACATGGGAAAGGATGGCATGTTAATGTCAGTAGGCGGTCTATCTTTGTTTACGGATGTGTATAACATTAAAATATATTATGCTCTCTAAGCGGTCGAATGATGAAGATTGTTTTTACAGTGTGGTATGACCGAGGTTTGATTGCTGAAGCAACATATCATGCACATCATGTAATGTAATGTATCAAATGCCCAGGAAAAGAAAGAATATATCTATATAAAGTACTGTACATAACATCCTTGTGTTGTCGTTGCAGTTACCACCGTTGCCATGAAGGATTACTCTACAAAAATATATAATGATACTATAACTTTATCAACGTCCCTTTCCAAAGATATTCTTCAGCTTCGAGATGAAATTTCCATTCGCACGACGAGAAGCACTTTTCGTCAGTAGTAGTATTAGTAGTATTAGTAGCAGTCACAGAAGTACAGTACTTGTTGAAAGTCCTTTCCCTGAGTACTACTAGTACTACTATCTGTCTGCGAACTCACGAACTTGGAAAGGTGTCCCTGAACAGAACACGGTGAGATAGACGCTCTTCTCGACTGCATTGAAGACCTCAGTGTGTCACAATCGTGGCAGAGGGTGCTGTCAAAGGCGGCTTGGGAATAGTTGCAGTTTCTGATTGGCGATATGTCTGTAATGAGGTTCCAATGGCGCTGTCTACTGCCTTGTTTCGTTTAGAGGCTTGGATGACATGCTTCTGCAGACGATGATGTTGCCGCTGCATGGATAGAGAAGGGAAAGAAAGGGAAGTAAGATTACTTGCATCAGACTGGTGCCGGTAGTTAGTAAGTAGAAATCTGCTATTCCTACTCATTTTATCAACATGCTGAACAGCTTCCATTGTACATACATACATACATGTACAGTACATATGCTAGTATGAACCAGAAGAGATGAAGTTTAAGAAGTTGTATAGTTTCATCACCAGTCTACCTCTAAGACATAAAGAACCGGTACATACAGTACAGTACTAAAGTGCTGTACTTATACTGAAACTGCACAAAGAATGGTGCTGTGTCTTTGTATATGCGGTGTGGATAGGAGATATCTACAACTCTCTGGGTGTTTCTGTTTCTGTTTTGTGCTATACAAAGGACGAATCCATATATTTCATCAGAGATTTGACTATAATTAGTAACACCCAGCGCAATCAAAGGAGAATTCTTCCCGGAGGAGTGAAGCACCAAGGAGCATCTATTAAAATTTGCAATAATATGGGAAAGTACAAAGAACATTCTATTTTTAGATAAAGAAAGAGCGGACGAGGACATCATACCTGCATCGACAGAAACAGAGACATAGCCAGTCCAACACAGATCTACGAGTGGCATCTTCAGCTGATGCCTTTCAAGCATGGGTTATGGTCATAGCTGGTAGGAAGTCCGTATGAGATATGGATTGTGAGAATATGTAGAAAATACTCCACACATTAGGGTCTGACAAGACATGGGAAGATCCCTGGTATGAGCTCTTCTCTTTCTTTTTTTTTTGTTGAGTGAAGCTATTGGTATGTTCGTTTCGAGACATATACAATTCTACCTACTTGGTAGGTGCCGAATCTTCCATCTCCACGTAGCGATATCATATTTCATCTTGAAACTGAGATGTACTCCATGATGGGGTGTGAAATCCGTCACAGAGTAGACAAGGCAAACTTGAAGCTTTGTAACTACTGATGCTACGAATCCAAAGAAGTTGAATGTATGTGATCCATTCTCATTGGTAGAAACGCAGCTAAACAGTGTTGACGAGCGAGTATGTATCGGAACAGAGACTGCTGTCTGATAGATAAATTTCGAAAAATATACCCCGCTGAATCGCGAGTTGATTCGACGCGGACTATATAACTTTGTATGTACCGGGTCTAGAAGTCGACAATGTCAACAGTCTCAGTCACCGAATAGCAATCTCCCTGCTGGTCTATGACTTGTCAGAACAATCAATAACAAAGGAATTTTTATGTTCATGAAAAGCAAGAGTGGTGTGTCCTCAGAGATCTTGGTGATGAAAGGTATATCAGTCGCCAGAGGCGTCAAGTACTATCTAGGCGTAATGTGTAATCATCGGACACGGGGCGAAAGAGGCGATCTCGACATACCTAGTTAGCTCTCACAGACGGGAATAGTCATTCTTCCGCAAAAAAGTGAAAATGGAATCCAGATGACATCTAATTCTAAATCTTCTCGAGTCAGCATGGGACCAGATACAAAGACCACGTCCAGAGCAAGCAGTAGTGTAAGAGGACATCAGCATATGTAAGAATTGAATATCACACTCCAGCCCTGTATCGAAACTCCGGCGAGAGCTTCACAGAAACTGGGTCAAGCGCAAATTACCTCATCATGTGACATGCCACAGAAAGAGAGACATTGAACGTACCAGTTATTAGGAGCTGATTGCATATAAAGTTAGTATCAACTCAGTCGACTGAGCAAACATCTTGCGTTGCACTACAGTGTCATTTCACTGCAGGGGCTTTGTTTTTTCGTGCTTCAGCAGAAGGAAAATTCCAGATAGCAGTGGCAGCTTAAAAGGTTTGGCGGTAGCGTCGGGCCGGAAAAACGTCTCGGCTACAGCGCGCTAGGCGACTCCAGCCCTAGGCCGCACAGTGCCGGCAGCCTCTGCGGTGCGCCGCTCCTACTGGCTGCTAAGCGAGCGAGATCATTGTGGGCTGCTCTCCTACGCCCGAAATTCGCGATCCAGCAGCACAGTTACTCCGGACGACTTCGACCACCGACTCTTCGACAACAAACCACCACCGCCGCCCTACCGGAGCTGTCGACCGTGAGTACGACCTTTTTTCCGCCGAAGGGATATCCTGCGTTTTCTCCGTTTCAAATCGCTGACCCGTCTGCTTTCTTACCAGACAGCCTTCACCATGGCCAACATCGATATCAAGACCACGTCATGGAAACTCGTTGAGGTCGGCCGTGTGGTGCTGATCCGCCGAGGGCCTTACACTGGCAAGCTGGCCGTGATTGTCGAGATCATTGACCACAAGCGTGTACGTTTTCCTCGCCGTCGAAGCGACCGAAGAAACCATACTATGGAGGCAGGATGATATTGACTTGGATTGCGACTGCAGGTGCTGGTCGATGGTCCCTCTACCCAGGAGGACAAGATTGTCCCTCGTCACTCTCTGAACCTTAACCACGCCACCCTCACGCCCTTCGTCATCCCCAAGACCCCCCGCGGTGCCGGCACTGGCGCTATTAAGAAGCTGTGGGAGAAGGAGGACATTGATGGCAAGTGGGCTCAGACCGGCTGGGCCAAGAAGGCTGCCCAGATTGAGCGGAGGAAGAACCTGACCGACTTCGAGCGCTTCAAGGTTATGAGACTGAAGAAGCAGGTACGTGGGGGATGCCCTTTTCGTCTGGGTGTTTTTCCCAGACATCAATTTCTCTTCCGGAGAGACGGAATCCTACAAACGAGGGAAAACTATTTGGTCAATTGCTGACATCGCATTTGTGTAGGCTCGCTACGAGGTCCAAAAGGCACACGCTAAGCTCCGTGCTGCCGCCAAGGCATAAATGTGTGCGGGTGCCGGTGTACTGTGGGAGAGGGTTTTTTTAGGTGGTTTAAAAATGGCTGGAGTTCTTCTGGAAACGCGCTGTATGAATTATCGTTGACAGCGAAAATCCATTCCAAAACTCTGATATCCGGGCAACGGTTCTCCTGTGTCATGAAAGATCATTTTTTAATTTTACTGCGGATCCGGAGACACGGCGCGGAGACGCCGATGCTACTCCGAATTACGAAAATAAAAATTCAAAGAAGAGTAATTTCTCACTGTAGATGATAATGGCTGTATAATGCGTTCAATCGTAGTCAATGCCCGAGCATACGGTCGTGTGTGCTTGGGATCCGTAGATGCCTGCTGGGGGGAGGAGGGTCCGGCGCTCGCTAACCACTAACGGTTTTCGGCAACTCGCGCGTCGGCCCTGCGATGTTCACACAGCTTTGCGGCTCACACCCACCAGCACGACAAAATTCCCAGCATCGACAACAGACATCTAGCAGCGTCCAGGTACGGCAAATCCAGGCTCATCGCCCTACAATCTGCATATATAATTTTTCTCGATTCCTTTTTCTGGGATTCACCCCACCCATTCCCGGCGTCTGTGTCTGGGTTGGGTGACTGTGCGATTTCATAGTGCGAAGCGCTAACCATTGCTCATTCACACAGAGTCTAGCCGATTCGATACTCAAGATGTCCGACACCAAGGTCGAAGAGGTTCCTGCGAACGAGGAAGTCCCCAAGGCGGGCGTTGAGGACGCTGGCAGCAGCTCCGAGTCCGAGGCTGAGAACGCTGAGACCACTGAGGCCGCTGAGCCCACCATCCCCGGAGGAGCGACCGTCACCATCCACTCGCGCAACGAAAAGAAGGCCAGAAAGGCCATTGGCAAGCTCGGCTTGAAGCATGTTCCTGGCATTACCCGTGTCACCCTCCGGAGACCCAAGAATGTATGAGAGTCCACGATCCCCGTCACCCTGGGAGGATAGCAATTACCTGTGGCGCGTAAAGTCCACACTTTGCGCACTACTGAGCAGCGGTAGAATTTGCATTGAGATGTGATAGAGGCTAACTTGGCTGTACTTCAGATCCTCTTTGTGATCAACCAGCCAGATGTCTACCGCTCCCCCTCCAGCAACACTTGGATGTACGTCTTTTCCTCCAGTCTTGAATCATTCACACGCGACATCATGACTTACAACGATTTACAGCATCTTCGGTGAGGCCAAGATTGAGGACCTGAACGCTCAGCCTCAGGTCAGTGCTGCTCAGCAGCTCGCTGCTGCCGAGGCCGCTGGTAACGCTGACCACGCTGGTCACGATCACGCTGAGGGCAAGGGCAAGGCCCCTGAAACCGAAGCCAAGAAGGACGAGGATGAGGACGATGGAGAGGAAGTCGATGAGACGGGTCTGGAGGCCAAGGACATTGAGCTCGTCATGGCCCAGGCCAACGTGTCCCGGAAGAAGGCCGTCAAGGCGCTCAGGGAGAACGACAATGATATCGTCAACTCTATCATGGCACTCAGCATATGAAGCTAGGGTTAGCAAGTCTCAACGTCTGTTGG